GAAAGCAAATCACTATGGCGGACAGACGTTTGCTGACAACGGTACATACAATGGTATGCGTTCTGTTATGAATAGGCCCGTGGTATTATACATACGTTAACGCAGCGATACACAACCTGTACCCCGTGGGCCGCATACGGCCCACCGAGCTTTTTTAAGTGGCTCGTTCATGGTCCATTGCTGTACACAGTGTATTAAAAATTTGGTGAGAAATTCTTTATCAAGAAATCAGATATATCAATTTTGCGTTTTGCTCATGGTGTCGTACGGGTACCAATTGATGTTTTTTTTTCTAATTGGATCGTTTACAGTTTGTGATAGCAAACAACAGTTGAGTAGCGACAATTTTATGGATGGAATTAATATGTAACAATCTTTCATATCTGGCAAGTGAAAAATATTCGAAAAAAATTAATCGTTTCTAGACGATTGGGAGGTTAACTATTTTGTAGTGAAAAACAAACAATGATCAATAATTGTTTAATTTATCACGACAGTGCTGTATTTAAAAAATACCAATAAATAGAACTCATTCAATGACACTTTTACTAGAAGGTCTCTTTCAAGAGGTGATAATTAGGCGTTCTTGACTAATATTTGCGAAACAAACAAAGTGTTTTGTCAGTGGTAATACTACAGCGGTAACAAAAGCATCCTATGAAGCCTCTTACATTATAGGTAATCGTATGAGACCATTTACTGATGCAGGAATAATGAAGGATTATTTCTTAAATGCTTCTAATTTAGTGTTAGTGACAAAAATATAAAAATATATAAAAATTGATAATTATAAAATGCAAAACAGGAGTTATAATATTTCCATTAATTTTCCACATTTTAAATTTCCAATGTTATCTTGGTCTAAACCCTTCTTACTCTGTCCTATTGTTGCATTTCTGAAACATATGATTTATTTTAATTTAAAAAACTCAATACTTTTTGTAATTACCTTCAAATCACTTATCTGCAAAAAAAGATTACTGCAACGAAATACATGCTAATTTTGTCACTAAATGCAAGTACATTTTTTCCAAAAATTACAACAAGTATAAAAATTTCTGATGCCTCAAGAATTTTTTTTTTGCTGTAAGAAGAATCCATTATATTTTATGCTTCCTCTTGTTTATTGACGGAATAAATTACGAGTTAAGAAATTTAAACATTGTATGTTCATTTAAAAGTAATTTTGATTTTCTAATGGGAAAAGTTTGAAAGAAATTTGATTTTAATTATATGCTGCAGGTCTGCAACATTGGTCTTTGGTTACCATTTTGACATGGCCAAAAAGAGTATACTAACTCAAGAGGAAACTGATATATATGTGAATAATTCAGACGAATTAAGTGAGGATGGTCGTCAATATTCTGATGATGATGTTGATTTTTAACTGATTGTGTGTCATCTAATGAAGATTCGGATAGCGACTGTGAAAATAGTATTGGTTCACAAAATACAATTTAGAATATAAAAAAATCCGATGATGATAATAAATTAGATAGAAATATTTCTGCCAGAGAGAGAGAAACTTTTTTAAATTTAACTTTTAAGAACAATAAAACATTGTCAAAGAATTTTTTATGAAAAACTCAAAACATTTCATTGAATGAAGAAGTAATAAAATTCCATGAAGCGCTCCCAAGAGAAATTATGGACTAGGAGTGTGAAAAGAGTAAAGTAGGACTTTGGTACAACAAAATCAATAACTGCTTTAAAAATGTTCATTGTATGTAAGGCTAAAGAAATGTACAACAATGAATAATAAAATCCTCATACAAAAAAAAAAGGTTTTATAGTTTACATCACTACTGCGCAATGTATCACTTCTGCAACAAACAAACAAAAAATAACTGAAATTCAATTTAAAACAACTTAATTTTTTATATATATTTTTCCCTTTTAATATTTCTCGAGAACTAGCTGATATAATTTGTTCATAGGCATTTGAAAAATTGAGAAAAAAAAGGTTTAAAGCAAATTTTTCTCCTCACTCTCTCCCATTTATCCTAATACTGCGGCCCGTGTGAACTAACTAACATATGTATGAGACCCGCGTGAAATAGTTGACCTATGTATGTTGCCCAACAGAAAAAAAGTTTGAGCCCCCCTGCATTAACGTCTACTTGTGATGAATCTGTATGGGAATTTATCACTAATACTCTTAGGCGTCTTTGGGGATTGTAAATTCGCGTATATTTACAACCAGCTCTAAAAGAAGAAACCGGGATATGCAAATTAGTCAAAGTGTTTAAGGAGGGTGTTGTAAGTTAACAGTAGGCTATTACGCGAAGAGAGATAGGTTGACGGAGTTCTAAAAAGATTCAAGTTGGTTGTGTGATTAGCGTCTCGCTGATCATTAGGCAGTGATCTACAACTGGAAAGTTTGATGCGCCTGGAAAGTGAGGTAGTAAAAGGAAGGTGAGATTTAAATCTAGATTATCGGATCATAAGAGTAAATATATAATAAAGTTAGTGGTAATTAAAAGAATGCTAGTAATTCGAATTGCGCGTATCTCTCGATCCTCTTATTCCGGTAATCCCGTTCGATATTGAGTTTAATAGTTGATTAGTATCCTATTTCATGTTTTAATTTAATAGTAAGAGTCAATCAAAAATTGACGTAGATATATTGATTCATCTTTCTACTTAGAAGGTTGATAATTTATTCCAGTGAATAAATATAATTTGTTATTGTAAAAATGTCGTCTGGTCGTTCTTTGCCTCAAATCAATCTTGGTGTGCAGGTTGAAACCCAGGGGGATTCTTACATACTCATTTTGAAAATTAAAAAGGTCATGTCCCATCAAATGAATATTCACTGGCTTTGCATGTTAAGAGAACAAAGGTAGATAGTTGAAGATGTCTCAAGGGCGCATTCCTCCACTTCTATGAATGAGAACAATATTGCCCATCAGCTTTTCACCTCTTCCTTGCATTGAAGGTTGTAGTCTTATAAAATAATGCAGAGGCGTTTCAACAATTCCTTGCACTGGAGTTTACCAAAGTGGTTTCTTCAAACTGTATACACTCTACGATAATTTTCTGATTGTCGGGGAAGACTATGTCAAAAATTAGAGCAAGATGTGTACTTAATGATGGCATAGTTTTTTTTCACTGACGTTTTTGATTGAATAAAATGATGAAACTTCTTTTTGAAACCTTCATCATACCTCACGCTGAAAAAATCATCAACTTTATAATAAAAGTTGTAGTTGAAGGTACTTTATAAAATGGAAAAACTTTTATTCTTAAAAAAGGAATTTTCTGAATTTTTTTAACAATAATTATATGAAGAATTTATACAAGATGTGAGGTAATCTGTAATTATTAATACTAAAACATGTTTTATATGATCTCAGTTTAAACAAAATACAACATCAAGAATAATCTAAGGAGTATGATCAAGAACGAGAAGACGCAACACGTATTACCAATCGGTAGCGCAACTAACCACTGTATCTCACTTTATAGATTAAATACTATCTCACTAGTTTCCTAATTTACATACACATGTTCTTCTTCTGGAGATGGTTGGAAAGAATTGCCATTCTGACCCCAAAGAACCCCTAAAGGACAGTTAATAGCCCCGTCACAACCGCTCCAAGAAGAAAAACGTGATTTATTCGAGGGTCTTAATAGCCCGAAAGAAATTATGTTAACAAGTTTTAAATTGTCGCCTAAAATTCAAACTCTAAAATAGCTAAAATAACTCTACTCAAATAATTACACCGAAATTATCATTTAAATGTTTAATGTCTTCGCTCTTGGTGGTAAACCTGTACATAACTTATGAAGGTGTACACCATTTGGACAACGGACCTAGGGAAAAAAGGGATTTTGAACAACAGGCCATAAAAAACCTGGCCGTACACAAACCGAAACTTAGATATATTATACACTTTTTCATCTTCAAAAATTTTGGTCTCCAATGCAATCTTCTGGATTCATCTGCATACAGTTAATACCTACAAGAAATCTTGTTTTTTTTTTTCAAAACATCAGGGTCAGCCACCCTGAAATGAGAACTCTTTAAATTGATTGCAACAATACATTCCTACACATTGCTATTACACCTTACATATGTTTTACAATTTGAACACATATTTCAAATCACAATTATTTTTCAACATGTACACCTCAACTGGTTTTCTAAACAAAATTCCCCTCTAATAACGCAGTGCCGTTAGTGTTATGGTTAATCTCTTACTACGCCGCGTTCCCAACACCAGATGTACATTAATATCAATCAAAACATAAATATATACAGTATACAATTACAAACATTTTTTTACAATAATCATTTTAAACAAACAACGCAAGGAATTCTCGCATCTCAGCGAAGTCATAAACAACAGTAAACAAATTTATACACACAATTGTTTCCTACATTTTGGAAAAAAAATACAAATACAAAAAATCATTTTTATACATCTCAAAAAATGCACCTCAATGTAGTGTGAACTTTTGTAAATCACATAAAAAAAATTTCAATCAGCATTTGACTTACATCTCTTGCAATAATTCTCCTGACTGCCTGTCAGTAAAAAAAAATATAATTAAACGATACAACCTGGTTAATGTCTCTTGTTGTTGACGTCTCCTACTAGAACCGTCCTTCTGCAAGTGGATATTTCTCCCATTTCTTGGCGTTGTTGTTGTTGTTGGGCTCATCTGTTTCTTTTTGAATTCTGACCGCCTGACCATCCTCTCTTAGTCTCCTGACGACTCTGGTTAGTGGACTGTTGCTTCTATCCTGGATCTTTAGTGTAGGTTCTGTATTCCTGGTATCTTCTTTCTCTGGACCGAACTGGTCCCCCTTGGACAATGATCTTACTAAGACCGGATTAGATGAGGGTCAGAAGCAAGAGTTGCAAGATTTGTTTAAAGGTTTTAAAGGGTTATTTTCAGACAAACCGGGAATCACGCATATTTTATAACATGAGATTGACACGGGGGATAAGACGCCAGTTGTTTCGAGGGCGTACAGATATGATAGGGTAAAAACCCGGCTATCTCAGTCGGTAGAGCTCGAAATTCCTTATCTCGGGGTCATGGGTTCATGCCCCACGTTAGGCACTAATGTGAGGTCCTCGCCGATGGGGACCTCCGTTCTACACTATCCACGTGACCTGTTTCTGTGGGGAGGAACGAAGAACTAATAAAGTCATTCATACTAAAATCTCTTTATTAAGATCTTAGTCTAAACACAATACAACAAGATTAATCTAAGGAGTATGATCAAGAACGAGAAGACGCAACATGTATTACCAATCGGTAGCACAACTAAGTACTGTATCTCACTTTATGGATTAAATACTATCTCACTAGTAAAATCTTTATACTTAAAGTTTAACTTATCAATCTTACCGCTATATCCAAGATAAACAGCTACGGTCCTTATCACTTTTGTCCTGGCTTTAATTCGATTTTACTCCATTGGGCTCAGACCCACTTTTGGTTGATCTTCACCGGTACTGTTAGGCTAATTTCCAGTATTATGTTTCTTATTTTAGACTATATTTCATATCACCTTGCGACTACTTTTCTACTTAGCAACCACAGCTAGCGACTCCACTTAGCGACCTAGCGAATGCTAAACTTCCCATATGTATATAATTCCTAATTTACATATACACGTTCTTTTTCTCTAGGTGGTTGGGAAAAATTGCCATTCTGGCCCCAAAGAATCCCAAAAAGACAGTTAATAGAAATCGCGATAAAAGCCCGTCACAAGGATAGAGGATTATTGTAAGATCTTCTTAGGTTTCACAACAGTAACTTGATTCATTGGTAATATGCTTTTACTGTATAGAAAAGAGATCATCAATCTTTTAGCTGTGGCATGCCAACTCAATTCACAAATATGATTCAGCGTGATACACAGTACAACGCTTTTGAAGCAATTCTACTTTCGTGATAATGTATGCAGAGAATATGGTTAAATTATATAGAGGTGTTAAAAGTTTTATTATACATTGATTTTGCATCATTACATATATTTATCATCATCAAAATATACAGCATAAAAAATAACTATTTCTTTCACAAAAATTTTAAAATAATAAAATCATACATAACTTACGCATTTTTAAACATATTTCTTAAAATTAGAAAAATGCAACATAAAGTATAAGTATTGTCCTTCATTCTAGTTAAATAAAAAGATAACTAAAAATGTTAGCGTGAACCTAGTACTTGCACTAGGTTCACACTTGCGCTCTACTTTCATATTGCAAAACTAGGTGTATAACTTGTGACTTTCAATTTGATACGATTCTCATCATTCAACCGTTAAGTAATTTTTTTGTGGACTCGAAATAATTTTCATATGAGGAAAGATTTTTTTTTTCTACTTAGATATGTAAAACCAAAAGTAGAATACGTATGCAATGTTCTCTCTTCAAACAATTATATCTAACCAACAATGTCATTCAATAATTTACAGAATAGCTGTAAGTTTATGTTAAAGTTTATCTTTCAGATTTTATTTCGTAATTCCGTAAATGTTCATAATTCTGAAGATGTTTGTCAAATAAGGTCCATTACAAATTTATCAATTTCCTTCCACTCAAAATTGACAAATTTGTAGAGTAGTGTGGAGTGCCACAGAGAATCGTACCGCATGCCACATGTTGCACGCGTGCTATAGGTAACCGACCCCTGGTATAGAATATATAAATCATCTATGGATTTGAATAAGGATTATTCAGACATGACATCTGATATTTAAAAAAATAAGAATAATAGTCAGTACCAGTCTTACGAGACAAAAATAGATTACTAATACGAACAAACAAGATTAGTTTAAGTGGAAGAAACCTTAGAGTATACGCGTAACTTAATGTACAAACGTTACATCTAAAAGTATTTTTATTTAAAAATTTATAGAAAAAATATCTTAGATATTATATAAGAATTATTACAACGAAAATTATTGTTTACAATAAGAATTTTACTTCAGAAAGTTTTAACAAAATTTTCAATTTCTCAAATTCAATTTAAGAACTAAAACTTTACTTAAGTACAATATTCTGAACTAAGCTATTTCTTATTTAATGCCATTCTACCAAAACAAACTTTAAGCAAAAACAATAAAATGGCGTTCATTTTAATGAAACATCGTCTGCGTTATGCACAATATATATATATAAGTACACAAATGAAATTCATTCTCAACAAATATCGTCGGTCTCATAAAAATAAATGATTTAATTCATTTAATTCATGAATATTTTAACAAATTTTGGCTGTCTCATATAATATAAAATAGATCTTTAAATATTAATATATTTTCAACTTCTGCCAAAGAGTAAATGTATATTTAGAATCTCAAAGAAGTTTAAAAAACTAATAAATGAAAATGAATTACAAATGCACATATTTATTCTACCTTAATCTTTCTAAATACAGGTTTATTGAAATAAGAATATAATATACGAATCATAGGTTTTTACTTTATTTAAAAAGTGTTTCATTTAAGACTATGAATATTTTACAATTTTCTCAATCAAAAAACTAATGGAGCTAAAGTACACTTCTTTAAATTTAAATATTTTTCAATATGCTACTTCTGCCGATTCTTCAAAAATTGTTTACATTCATCTTTCAGCCACAAAATTACTTTTAACGCAGACAAAAGCATATTTTTACAAGCTAATATTTTTTTGGTATTTTAGTTGCCTAAATAAATAATTTTTAATTCCAATGAAATTAGTTTCATTACTCTATCGAGTAAGCTATTAATAAGCTCTACGATAATCTATCGAATAAGCAATTTTTTCAGCTATTAAATTGAAAACTTCCAAGCGTAGATATTTTGCTATACTTAAATATTAAAGATATTAAACTATGACTACCAGGGAAACTACATTTTCATGAAATAACGTGGGCTATTAGGCTGCAGTTAAATAAACAAAAATAATAGAATTAAGCAGCTACTTAACTATATATTTTTTTAAAAAAGGTATTCTAAAATAAATCATTTTGTTAGGAGACAAAGTATATTTAGTAATAAATGTATTTATAAATTCTAAAAAAAACATTAATTTTACAAAAAGTTTTAATTTTTCATACCTTATTTGTTCTTTTACCTTCTTATTTGCATAATGTGTTCCATTTTTCTTACATAACAAACGAGGATCTTTCTTTGACTAACTGTGTGGTATTTGACTGATTGCCAAATGTTTTATTTATAAAGGGTGTTTTTTTAGAGGTATAGAACTTTAAATTGCAATAAAACAACGATGTATTATTAGATTGACATGAGTTTTTTTATTCGAAAGATACTCTTGTGGCATTACATTTTAAATATGATTTCTAGCATATTACTGCCACGGCTGGCTTGGATGTAGTCCAATCTGGACGTCCAATTTTCGATGACTTTTTCCAACATTTGTGGCCGTATATCGGCAATAACACGGCGAATGTTGTCTTCCAAATGGTCAAGCGTTTCTGGTTTATCCGCATAGACCAATGACAGAAAATAGTCTATCGGTGTTAAATCACAAGATCTTGGAGGCCAATTCACAGGTCCAAAACGTGAAATTAGGCGGTCACCAAACATGTCTTTCAATAAATCGATTGAGGCACGAGCTGTGTGACATGTTGCGCCGTCATGTTGGAACCACAGCTTCTGGACATCATGATTGTTCCATTCAGGAAAGAAAAAGTTAGTAATCATGGCTCTATACCGATCACCATTGACTGTAACGTTGTGGCCTTCATCGTTTTTGAAGAAGGATTCCACCAGCCCATAAAGCGCACCAAACAGTCAGTTTTTCTGGATGTAACGGTGTTTCGACATACACTTGTGGATTAGCTTCACTCCAAATGCGGCAGTTTTGTTTGTTGACGTAGCCATTCAACCAGAAGTGTGCTTCATCGCTAAACAAAATTCGCTTATTAAAATCGGGAACAACGGCAATCTCGTTTTGGGCCCATTCGACGAATCTACGCCTTGCTTGATGATCGTTTTGATGAATTGCCAAACCAAACTGAGAATAAATCACTTGACAGCTGTTAAATCGGTCGCCATCTTGAAAAGTAAGGCCAACTTAAACTTCTGTACCTGGAAAAAAACACTCTTTATTATTGTACATAGTACAATTTCTTCATTTTTTTACAAAAGATATACCATGTGTAGCCAAATAATTATGACTATATTTAAATATTATGTTTGATCACATCTTTTACCCTTAATACTTTATGTATTCTTCTTGACATGGATCTCAATAAGATGTTGGTAGATCGTATGAAAGATTTAAGTTGACATTCGATGAAATGAGCTTTTCAATGTCATCAGAGGGGATGACATTGGATCCAGCTGCCTAGCGCCTTGTTCGTTCTCATCCCACAAATCCTCCATGGAATTGAGATCTGGCAATTGTGCTGGTAAACTGAACAAGCTAAACTTTATCATACTTTTTGAACCATCTGTAGAACAGAGATCACTCAATTGCTGAATGTATCCATCCTCATCAGGATAAAGTTTTGACATAACAGGCAGGGAGGTCTTATGCCATGGGCTAACTGGGCCCGGAACCAGGTTCTCGACCTTAGTGAGAGCCTCGTCTCGTTCTCGACTGAACCCTAATAAGATCAGGACTCGAGTAATTTTAACGGTCAAATGTTATTTCCCATCGTATTCACCAAAAATTGGGAATTTCGAACTATATGACAACTAGCAACTGTGTGTCAAGACTATAAGTGATGACCGTCGCCCTTGTATAGGCCTAGTTCTACCACCACGCACAATCATTACTCAAATAAAGGCAGTAAGTCGATTTGGTTTGTATTGTGACTGCAAGTCGTGCACATTTGTTTGTTTTGGGTTACTGTTTGTAAGAGTATTTGACAACGTATGCTATGATCTTACTACTTTTAAGGGGCATAGCTGGGGCCCAGAGCCTCAACAAGTCTTAACACGTGTCCCTGATAACAGGATATACTTGATCCCCGATAACACTTAAATACTCTCAGTCAGTCAAACGTTCTTCCACGCGAATCAGGACATCTCTAAATTGCCAAAAATTGCCCCCCGACCTGGATATTGTCACCAACAACTTGAAGGGTTGTAC